CCCCCCCCCCCCCCCGCGGTCAAGACCAGCCTTGTCCCCAAGGTTGAAGTTGGGGAATTGGGTTTGAATGGTGAAAATGGGCTCCCATGTAGTGTCCTAGCTCGGCAGACCTTCCCATTAAATTAACACCTCGGGTACTTGTTTGCCTCCCACTGATGGAACTCGGGAAGCCAACACTGTCGACGGTTGAACCACCAACTCTAGCTCGTCAGATAAGTTAGGAGGCAAAGGTTGGCCCGCAAACGCAAGCCCCCTATACGGCTTCAGTTGAGAAATGTGAAAGACCGGGTGGATCTTAGCTGTTGGAGGAAGCTTAAGGCGATAAGCGACAGGACTAATCCGATCCAAAACTTCAAATGGCCCATAGAAATGTGGACAAAGTTTCTCATTAGCTCTGCGGGCTAACATGAAGTAAGGGCGTAACCGCAACATCACCTGATCTCCAATGGTGAAAGTGACGTCCTGACGGTCGGTGACGATATGCAAATTTCTTCATCTGTTGCTGTGCCATCACAAGGTGATCCTTCAGAAGGTCAAGCGTCTGATTCTGGATCCGCGGCTGTTCCTCTACCCCTTGCACTACCGCGGAGCCCTCCTAGTATCGGTGTAAAGTAGGTGGATGCCTTCCATAGACTATGAAGAACGGGGTGTACTTCGTCGAGGAACTATAATTGGTATTGAACCAATATTCGGCCTAGGGCAGAAAAGCCTGCCATTGTCGGGGTTTGTCATTAGCAAAGCACCGTAGGTACGTCTCAAGGCAGCGATTGGTGACCTCCGTTTGTCCATCAGATTGCGGGTGATAAGCGGAACTAGTATGTAATTTGGGGCCCTGTAGCTTGAATATTTCCCTTCAGAAAAGACTCATGAACAGCGGATCGCGATTGCTCACGATGGACTTGGGCACTCCGTGTAAGCGGATGATTTCCTTGACAAAAACCTCGGCAACCTGCTTGGCGGTGAATGGGTGGGCAAGTGGGTAGAAGTGAGCGTATTTGGACAAGCGATCTACTAACCCCTTTGGACTTTGGCAAGCCACTAATAAAATCCATGGATATGTCTTCCCAGATACGTTGTGGCACAGTCATGGAGTAAGCAATCCCGCCGGAGAGAGGGCGTCAGTCTTGCATTGTTGGCACGTGTCGCAGCGTGCCACATACTCTCGAATGACCTTTTTCATACCTTTCCCAAAGACTATTGCTGCCAAGCGCTTGTAGGTGTGAAGGAAGCCAGAATGTCCGCCAATGACCGAGTCATGGAACTCATGAAGGAGCCTTAGCACCCACGAGGATGAGGCCGGAATAATTAAACGAGTTTTAAACAAGAGCAAACCGTTTTGGATGCTGTAGCCAAGAACCGACCCTGCATTCAATTGCACTTTGGCCATCACTGCTGCACAGTGGGGGTCCTCGGATTGTTCCTGGCGAAGGGCGTCAAGGTCAAGTTGCTGTGGAATGGAAATTGCGGTGAGGGCGGCCATATCATTCCCTTCTCTCCGGGACAGAGCGTCGGCCACTCAGTTGGCAGTGCCTGGTTTGTATTGGATCTCAAAGTCATACCCGAAGAGTTTGGTTACCAAACGAAGTTGATTGGGTGCCAAAACTCGCTAGTCCATGAGGTGGCGGAGGCTCTGTTGGTCGGTGCGGATGATAAAGTGGCGTCCCAGGAGGTAGTGCTGCTACTTTTGAACTGTGAGAACAATGGCCTGTAGTTCCCTTTCATAAACTGACTTCCAACGGGCAGAAAGAGAAAGTCCCTTGCTGAAATAGGCCAAGGGCCGACCCCCTCGCATAAGCACTGCCCCCACTCCACTTTCGGCGGCATCTGTTTCTAAGACAAAAACCTTCCCAAAGTCGGGCAAGGCTAAAACTGGGAGTGCTGCCATCAAGACCTTTAGTTTTCGAAATGCGTCCTCGGCCAATTGGGACCATTGATATGCTCCTTTCTTAAGCAAGTCAGTCAAGGGTCGAGTAAGCACACTGTATCCTTCCACAAATTAGCGGTAATAGCCGGTCAAGCTAAGAAATCCTCAGAGCTCCCTTACTAATTAAGGGGTGGGCCAGGAAGTGATGGCCTGCACCTTCGAAGGGTCAGCAGAGATCCCATGCTTTGAAATAATGTGGCTGAGGTAATCCATCTGTTCGCAGCCAAATGTACATTTCTTTTGATTGGCATACAGCCGTTCCAAGTGCAACGTCTGCAGGATCAACACCAAGTGCCGGATATGCTCCGCCCTCGATTGGCAGTAAATTAAAATATCGTCAAAGAAAACTAACACAAATTTATGCAGGAAGGGATAGAATACCATGTTCATTAAGGATTGAAAGGTGGCGGGGGCGTTGGTGAGCCCAAAGGGCATGACGAAAAACTCGTAGTGCTCTTCATGGGTTTGAAAAGTTGTCTTCTCCACATCTTCCTCCCGAACACTGATTTGGTGGTGCCCCGAGCGGAGTTCAAGCTTGGAAAAGACATTGGCCCTATGAAGTTCGTCCTTCAGCTCGTCAATTATGGGAATGGGGAACTTGTATGGAATTGTCAGCTCGTTTATCGCTCGATAGTCTATGTAAAACCTCCAGCTGCCATCCTTCTCGACTAGCAAAACAAGACTAAAAAATGGGCTGGTACTTGGCCGGATTATTCCGACGCTAGCATCTCGTCAACCAGTCTTTCTATCTCTCCCTTCTGGATGTGGGGATATCTATAGGGCCGGATATTAGGAGGAGAAACCCCCTCTCGTAAGACAATATGGTGTTCACGAGCGTGGCACGGGGGAAGACCCCAGGAAGGTCCAAAATTGACTTGAACTAGTCTAGTAGTCCGGCCAACTCATGTGGTACCTCCTCGGCTGAGAGGCCATGTTCCTCGGTAGTCGCCAACCCAATTTCGAGTAACACCCCGGAATGCTCACACAATAAAGAACATAAAATTGAGCGTACACTAACCTTAGTATAGCATAGCGCGGGATCACCCTATAGGCACACCCATTGATTTCCTGCCAAGAACTTTACTGTGAATTGGGTCCAATCGGCTCGTACCTCCCCTAGCGTTTTAAGCCACGTGACTCCGAGCACCAAATCCACGTTTCCCAATTTGAAAGGGAAAAAATTCTCAATCACTCGGTGTCTTGAATCAGCACATGCACTGACCAGCAAACTCCTTGCTGAAAAATCATCCCATTTCCTACTTGAATCTTGTGTCGGACAGTTAAATCTTGGGGCAAGCCCATTTCCTTCACCAGCGTGGAAGAGATAAAAACTATGGGACGCACCGCTGTCAACGAGAATGATGACCTCCCTTTCGTTAATTGTTCCCTTAACCTTCAACGTCTTCGCCGGAAAACAACTGTTGAAGGAATTGAGTGACAGAGGAGCTATCTCTGCAGCCGCCGAGCCCATAGGGTCGTGCATCCCTTCTTCTGTTGCACTCTTCCTTCAAGTCTTCGTCCACAAGCATCAACACTTGTAGTGACCGATTCTTACAGTGGTGGCCCGGGTTGTACTTCTCGTCACACCTGAAGCAAAGTCCGCGAGCCTTGCGTTGTTATACCTTGTCGAAGGTCAGACGTCGGAATCCGGAATCGCTGTTGGCCGAGGGTTGAGTTTTTGAGGTCGCTGCCGTGAGCCCTTTCTGGTGGGCGTTGAGATCTTGACCTAATTGGGATTGAAGGGAGCTATCTCTTAGATCTAGAGCGTTATATGGGGTGTAAGGGCTTGTGCCGGGTCGACCCGAATACTCTGGCCTGGGGACCCGCCCCACCTTGCTCCTCCTTATTCGGTCCACTGCCTTCAAACGATCCTCTACTTGTTGGGCTAGGTCCATTGCCTCTAATAGGTTAACGGGCTGGTGCATTCTTACCTCAGCCCGTATGTCTTCACGTAGCCCATTTAAAAAAGCCCCTTTGAAAATGGGCTTTGGCATGCCTTTCATGGAGGCAGCAAGTGCCTCAAAGGTGTCACGGTAGTTCGCCACTCTTCCGGTCTGTCTGAGTGCCATTAGTCTCTCTGTCGGATCACCCTCACGGGCTTGGCTGAAACGTTGGATGATGGCCGTCTGGAGTTCTCTCCAGCTGGTAAAAGGCTCCTGAGCATCAACCCACTGAAACCACCCTAGAGCCCTTCCTTCCATGCAAACAGAGGCTGCTAAGATTTGCTCCTTGTCCTTTATGTCGGTCACGGTGAAATAGCGCTCGGCTCTAAACACCCATCCATACGGTTCCTCACCGTGGAAGACCGGGAGCTCCCACGAAAATCCTCGCGTCCCCTCTGTCATCTTGGTGAGATTTGGCATTGTACTCCCACTCCTTCCCCTCGTCGGATCGGTGAGCCTTCTTGAGGAACCGCCCGACCTCTTTCTGGTTCCCGCCTTGGGGGTGTTCAATCTGGGTTCCTAGCTGGCTCCCTCTCTGGATGCATCCTGTCAAAAAGCCGTGCCTGCCTCTGCAACATCTCCTCGACTCTTAGCATCGATCCTTGCAGCTCCCCAACTCTAGTATCCAGCTGAGTAACATCCTCTTGTAGTTGGGGAACTCGGTTTGCCATGGCTCCTACTATTTGAAGCGTGTCCTGAACGTCTTCTATCTGATGCTCCATCGTGGCTACTCGGTCTGCAACGCGCGGGTCGTGGGGAACGATGGCCATGGGATCAGTGGCTCTGATACCCAGTGATAGAATCCCAGGAACTTCTGGGTAGTTTTCTTTATTGAATAAGAGCAGAATTGGAAAATAACAAGAAAATACAGATAGGAGGAATTCGAGGTTCCTCTGCCTCCCAGACTCAATCTCAGCACATAATACCATATCCCCTCTTCTGCCCTACGAGCTCTCCTATATAGCTAGTTTTTCCCCAATGGCATTCCCCATGCATAGCCAATTCGTAACAGAAGGCGTGACCCCAACTTGAATCCCAATAGAAATGCCAGGTCAGCCAACTATCCCCACTTACACCGTCTCCCCTTGAGAATTAGGTATTCCCCTCTTGCTCTTCCTAGAGTAAACGAATTTGATGGGAGGAACTCGGGCTCTAACATTCGACCTGTTGTTTTGTGGGGTCTGGGATGTTGGCTCTTTGTGAGCCATTGATTCAACCTATGTGTCACAACTCAGCCAACACAAGTGGCTCTGCAGTCTGGCAAAACTGCGATCTTTGTATAATTGTTTGTGATATGCTTATCTCTGTCTTTCTTTTTGTTTTCTCATTCATCTTAATTTGATAAATTCTCTGGTTACTGATTGACAGCAAGCAAGTTTTCTCGCACTAAAAGATTTGAGAGAGAACTGCAAGATGGATCTGGAGATGATCAATGCAATACCTTCAGAGAAACATTAGTATGCTTCTAATGATTTAAATATTATCTTGTCACTTCAATTTAGTAGCTTTCACTCAACTCTCTGCTTGCAAATGCAACCGCTTGTGTGTATTCCTGAATTGTTCTACAAAAGATTGCAAAAATCATTGTTTTTAGAGCTGTAATGCATTCGTTAGTTCATACGTTTCCTCATTGTCTGCCTCAAGTAATGTTTAAACCCTTTAGCAGGCAACGCGTTTACTGTTTTTTCATTTGATGAGGTGTTCCTACTTTTCTAATGTTCACATTTCAAGGTTATTTTCTTTCAAGGTACAGTTTTATGGTCTTCCAATATAGTTGATTGAGAAAGTACTTCCGAATTATTCTGATAATGACTGATACCAGTTCTCTATAATGTTCAGCTCTTTGCATTATGAGAAGTTGATAATTGAGAGCTAATGAATGCTCTCCTTTTCAACTGCTAGTCCTAGAGGATTGTGATGTTGAAAAGTCCGCTGTAAATTCTTTAAAATCGATCGGTTGGATAAAGACCAAAACATTGACGAATTCGATCTACTGATT